ATGCACCAGGTTCCATTGATTTACTTCTTGGAGTGAAGGAATACGCACAGATATTACAACCAGATTTAATCAAGGGTCCACCGGGTACTCCAAGCGCTCAGAAAACAAACCTTGGCTGGATCTTATTCGGAGAGGTCGATGATAATGCGCAGCAAGACACGTTCTTAGTCATGCACCAACAAGTAGAAATAGATGAAGTTTTAAAATCAATATGGGAAGTAGATACAGATACAAAAAGAAGATTGACTAGAGAAGAGCAGTTATGTGAAAAGATATACGCAAAAACACACAAAAGGACCGAAGAAGGGAGATATATGGTGAAATTGCCGTTTAATACTGACAGACCGAGATGTACAGAAGGAAATACAAGGGATATAGCAGAGAAAAGATTGCTACAACTAGAGAGACGATTCAAGAAAATGCCTAAACTAAAAGAGGACTACACTAATGTAATAAAAAAATATCTGCGTCTACAACATATGGAAGAAGTACCTGAGAAAGAAAAAGAAAAAGAAAAATGTTTATACTTACCTCATCACGCGGTTCTTCGTGAAGATAAAGAATCCACGAAAACAAAATTGGTGTTTGATGCTTCCTGCAAGGGGTCGAATAATGTCTCTTTGAACGATGAACTTCTCGTAGGTCCGCCACTGCAAGAAGATCTTCGTAACCTAATAATAAGATGGAGAATGAAAGGCATATGTTACATGAGCGATATACAGAAGATGTACCGTCAAATATTGGTGTTCCCCGAAGATGCTGATACTTATCAACGAATCCTTTGGCGCTCAGACGCATCCGAAGATATCAAGGAGTATAGAATTCTTCGCGTGACTTTCGGTACAGCATCTGCTCCCTACCTTGCGGTTCGAACTCTTCATCAAATCGCTGATGATGAAGGTAAGAATCATCCCAAAGCAGCTCAAATAATTAAAGAAGATTTCTATATGGACGACTTGATGGGTGGAGCCGATACTGTGGAAGAAGCTGTAACTGAAGCCAAAGAAGTTGATGAGATTGTAAAGAAGGGAGGTTTCACTCTGACTAAATGGGCTTCAAACAATCTTAACTTCATGCAATCCATCAAACCAGCAGATCGATCTAGGAGTGCACATTTTAACTTCAACATTGATGGAACCGTAAAGGCCTTGGGTATTAAATGGAATATGGGTACAGATAAATTTAAATATGAAGTTATCTTACCAACCATTCAAGCAACTGTCACCAAGAGAAGTGTTTTATCCGACATACAGAAACTCTTTGATCCGCTTGGTTGGATAGCGCCAAGCATTGTTATGACGAAGATTCTTATTCAAAAATTGTGGCTAGAAAGGTTGAACTGGGATGACAAAATCAGTTCACATTTGCTAGACGAATGGCTTACTATCCGATCAGACTTCCAACAAGTCAACGAGATTGAAGTCGATAGATGGATTGGTACAACGAGCAAAATGAGCGACAACTTACAGATTCATGGCTTTTGCGATGCTTCAATGCAAGCTTACGCAGCGCTTGTGTATGCTAGGATCAAAACTAAAGACGGAACAATCAGAACAAAATTGATTGCTGCCAGAACCAGAGTTGCGCCATTGAGAACGATCTCGCTACCTAGATTGGAATTATGCGGCGCTTTGCTGCTGGCTCGTCTGCTCAAGCAAGTTGCACAAGCAATGAGAATACCATCATCACAAATATTTGCTTGGACAGACTCATCAATTGTTCTTGCTTGGCTTGCAGGAGATCCACATAAATGGAAACTGTTTGTAGCGAACCGCGTGGTCGAAATAGTAGAGAATGTACACTGCAATAGATGGCATCATGTGGATTCAAAGAGTAATCCAGCGGATATAGCATCAAGAGGTATGTTACTGTCAGAATTTAAATCATGTAAGCTCTGGTGGACAGGACCAACATGGTTGCTAGAAAGGGAAATCCTATTTTGTAACAACCAACCTAAAGAAACTGATTTAGAATTGAAGAGACTTAAAATACAAGTTAACATTAAAATTAGTGAAGGTGAAGAAGAAAAAACAAAACAAAAGAAATTAATAGAACAACTAAAAAATTTTGAGACACTACAGGAAATGCTTAAGATAATTACATATTCCCGTAGATTTTTAAATTACAAGAAAAATTCAAATAAAATTCCAGAACCGCTAAAGACAGAAGATTTGGATAGATCATTGAAAGCATGCATATGACTCGTACAAGGCGAAGAATTTGCAGAAGATATTCAAAGATTAAAGAACAAAAAGTATGTAAAAACTAACAGTTATTTGAAGAGTCTGAATCCCTATTTAGACGAAGTGGATATTCTCAGGGCGGGCGGTCGCCTTCGACACTCTGAGCTGGAAGAAAAACATCTGATAATACTGGGCACAAAAAACAACTTAACGCCATTGATTATCGCCGATGCTCACTCCCATACGATGCACGGTGGTGTCCAGTTGACATTATGTTACCTTCGATCTAAATATTGGATCCTGAAAGTAAAAAGATTGGTTAAGAAGCATATCCACAAATGTTTGACCTGTGCCAAACAAGGAGCTACAGTAAGAACACAGATGATGGGAGACTTACCTAAGGAAAGAGTGACACCAGCTCGAGCATTTTTAAATAGTGGAGTTGACTTTTGTGGACCCTTTCTAATTTTGAATAATAAAGGCAGAGGAGCCAGAACAAGAAAAGCATACATTGCACTCTTTATATGCATGTCAACCAAGGCCATCCACCTTGAGCTGGTTGGTGACTTGACATCTGAAGCTTTCATCGGTGCGTTTAGAAGATTCGTAGCCAGGAGAGGCAAATGTGCTCATATGTGGAGCGACCAAGGCCGTAATTTCATCGGTGCTGATAGAGAGCTACAAGCAGCTTGGCGAGAAGCTGATTTGGACTTTGAAGGGAACATAGCTGAGACCTTGGCATTAGACGGCACACAGTGGCACTTTATCCCGCCTTACAGCCCAAATTTCGGAGGGCTGGGGAGTCTGGCGTCAGATCAGTTAAGTACCATTTGAAGCGAGTCCTATCTATAAACCTTACCTTCGAGGAAATGACCACCGTTTTATGCCAAATTGAGGCTTGCCTGAATTCCCGACCGTTGAATCCAATAGACACAGATGATCCTGACGTTATAGAGACATTAACACCTGGACATTTTTTAATTGGTCAAGCCCCTATTATAGTCCCTTCTGTAGACCTGAAAGATACCCCGATTTCAAGCTTAACACGATGGCAACACCTACAAAAACTGCTGGGAGATTTCTGGAGACGTTGGCAGACGGAATATCTGACGAGACTACAACAACGCCCGAAGTGGCAGAGACAGCAGCGCGAATTTGAACAGGGAGATATAGTTTTAGTTAAGATTGAAGGTCTGCCGCCTGGTAAATGGTGTCTGGGACGTATTGTGGGTAAACATCCGGGAAGTGACGGTTACACCAGAGTGTATAGTGTTAAGAGTGGTAGTAACATTGTAAAGCGTTGTGTTACAAAATTATGTGCTTTGCCAATAGACACTAAATCTTAATGTTAAAGTTAATTTTAAAGCATTACTGTGAGCACAATAGTTGTCGATTTTAATTTTGTTATCAATTATCATATAAGTAATTATATTTGATTGTGTAGATTGTTTGTTGATTATGATATTTTTGGCTTATATCACTTAGTTAATTTGAGTTATTGTATTTTAGAAAGAACTAAATATTCTTTGGTGGGCGGCATGTTCGTTCTACTACAATATATACGCAAACTTGTTATTTTAAAGTCAGTCGCAATTAAAGAATCAAAGTGCAAAGACATAGTGGTTTTCTTTTACACGTGATACAAACATAAGTGCACCTTAATTACATCAACAACTTGTTTTTCACGCATATCACGATGACTACAACCCCGATGATGCCTGTGAGATCTCAAGTGCTGCTCCCGTTGACGGTTCGAGTACGTGACGTGGCGCAGCGTCATGCTAGCGCTGGTGCGGCGCGACACGAGCGCTTGCCTTATGGCGGCTACCTATGGAATGTGCTGTGTGTCCATTGTGTCGTGTAGTGTTTGCCATTCTACGTGTGGCAGCACGGATGCGGCATCGCCGCGCTGGGCGCGTCGCCGACTGCTACTGGCGCACAGCTTGGCCTACGCCTCTACATTCAGCTTCCTTTTTGCAATGTGTATAGTGGTTTGCGAGTGTCATGCACACAGTTACCGTTTAGCGTTTCTTATGACAATGTGTGGTGAATTTTAGAAGTCTGGAATTCTATGGTTCGCAATACATTCTTTTAATTTTAATTTTGCAAAGCAGATTATTTATTAGTTTCATGCACCTGGAACTTTTTACATCTATTCCAATCTTAAATTACTTTGGTAATCTATTTTGTGAAACAAGTGTTGGATGCGTTTGAGTGCACGCTGGTGCATCTAACGTAGTCTTTTTCTTGGACTCTTGTGTATTTAAAATTTTACAATAAAACTACTTGGAGTAAGTACGAGTGCGCCGAGACAGCTCGCTAGTGCGAGTGCGCCGAGATGGCTCGCTAGTGCGAGTGCGCCGAGACGGCTCGCTAGTGCGAGTGCGCCGAGACGGCTCGCTAGTGCGAGTGCGCCGAGACGGCTCGCTAGTGCGAGTGCGCCGAGACGGCTCGCTAGTGCGAGTGCGCCAAGACGGCTCGCTAGTGCGAGTGCGCCGAGACGGCTCGCTAGTGCGAGTGCGCCGAGACGGCTCGCTAGTGCGAGTGCGCCGAGACGGCTCGCTAGTGCGAGTGCGCCGAGACGGCTCGCTAGTGCGAGTGCGCCGAGACGGCTCGCTAGTGCGAGTGCGCCGAGACGGCTCGCTAGTGCGAGTGCGCCGAGACGGCTCGCTAGTGCGAGTGCGCCGAGACGGCTCGCTAGTGCGAGGGCGCCGAGACGGCTCGCTAGTGCGAGTGCGCCGAGACGGCTCGCTAGTGCGAGTGCGCCGAGACGGCTCGCTAGTGCGAGTGCGCCGAGACAGCTCGCTGCCACAAGTGCTACGCGACTGCCCGCTGGCGCACGTGCTGCGCGAGTGCTGAACGCAGCGGACTGCTTGCTGGAGTGAGTTTAGCTGGGTGCCCTGTGACTTCAGTGTATAGTGCGATGAGTGAAGTGTGCGTGTGTTAAGCTCTAGTATGAAGTTGTATACTAAAATCTGATCTGAACGATGTTTTCACTTCTGCAGAAACTTAGTATGTATTTCATAGTCAGAAAAGGCCGAGACGGTAAAGTTGCATTAAAGCCGGTAACGTTACTCTAGGCTTCTCACGGGGACGTGTGAATTGTCAGGAAAGGCCGTGTTTGGGATGCGGGTAAAATAAAAGAAAATAAGAAATATTAAAGGTAGAACTATAATCTCCCACTTGTTTTAGCAGTATAAATTATCACGCAGTCGACTACGATGGATCAGTCAGTCTGGGCAAGGAAAGTCGTATTGCTGAGAGGCTGCCCTGTGTTACATTGAGATTGGTAGTGATGCTGTTGGTTTGCATACTTTGGTAGTATCATGTAATTGGGTCCTGATAGTAAGCAGGGTTACTGTGTAGTGTTCTTTTATTTAAATAATTTTGAGAATAATTTTTAACATCAGAAATTGAAATAGATATATGAATAAAATATGTCCATATTAATTAGTAAATAACGAAGTAAAGTTTACTCCTAATGCTCCATATAACTTGTAGAATGTAGAAAAGTTATTTAATTTCTATATAAACGTGAATGCCTCTAAAATAAGTTATTAAAATGAAATTAAAGCCGTTCCTAGCTAAATGTAAAACCTTTAATTAATTTTCCTGAAACTGACTGCAACTACTAATTAAAAAAATATAAAAAAGAAGAAATTGTTTTACTTTTTTATATTTTCATGGAGTTACAAAAAATACTTAATCTGCTAGACATAATATAATTCTATATTCTAGAAGGCGTCAAGCTTTGAGACGGAAGAAAATTGTTCAAAAGAATTAAAAATATGGGAGTGAATATTTTCGTTTTATATTTTTTCCTAAAATAAAAATAATTACTTGATTTTGATTTTGTTTTAAATGAGTGATTAACATTCGAGGAAGCTTTTTTTTATTTTTATCATCATCATCATCATCATCATCATCATCATTACAGCTCTTTACAAGTCCACTGCTGAACATAGCCTCCTCAAGGAATGCCACAAAGCACGGTCCTGAGCCACCTGCATCCATCGACTTCCTGTATGTCTTACCAGGTCGTCACTCCATCTATACTTTTTATACACTTTAAAGAATCTACCACCCCATTTTATCCCTTAGGTGTGTATAGGGCAACTATGGAAAATGCTGGAAAGATATCATAGTTTACGGCAAATGGATTATCTCATTTTCACCAGCCATGAAATACTCAGATCAAGAACGGGGAACAGCATCAAAGGTGTGCGACTTCTTGTAATTTCCTCCAGACCGGATTACGGTCACTGCAGCTAGCCTCAGAGGAGACAGCCTAGTGTTCGATGTATGCGCAAGCACAGGTGCATTCTCTATTCTCTTACTCTCATAGTGCAGCACGGCAAATTGACACAACCAGAGAGACTAACGGCTTTATCAAAATGCACTTCCGATGCACAGGATTGAAACACCGCCAACTGACTGGGTTACTATTGAGAATTTTTAACAGAAAATTTCAATTAAGAAATTTTTTGGACCGACCCCGGATTGAAACCCGGGGCCTCATGATCAGCAGTTACGTTTAATCGCGCAGAGGCGTCCGGTACTGCGATCGTCAATATGCTTGCCAAGGTCATCACTGCCAATTAGCCTATATTTTATCTAAAAATCTCGATTTCTTTTTTTGTAAAATCGAATAATCGTACAATTAAAACAAACGTCACATTATTCGATTTAACCCAGGCAAAGCATGAGCGGGTTGTTAGTATTAAATATTTAGTATTAAAGATTTGGAATTCAGTGACCAAGATTTATGTCGACAAAAAAGAAAAAACTCAATTAACTCTTCCTCTTTAAAATTCACTCCAATTCATTGAGCCCGAGACGTAGTCAAGCGAGTTTCCAACACTTTACTACTAAAGTTTGAAAAAGTAATTAGTTACATTTCCTTAAGAAATATTCCTATAAAAAGGTAAATTCATTTCAAAGTCTATTTAATGGATAAAAATTGTAGGGTCTTAACCCTAATTACCTATCTACTTGCTTATAAATGTCATCTTGAGTAGAAGTACTATTAATAAAGTTGAAAAATAAACTTTTAGAAAAGTGCAAACCGTCTCATTTTGAGTGAGATTTTGAGTGGACTGAGCAATATCGATAAAGATGTTAAAAATGTATTACCTAAGATCCGGGTAAGAAAATAAAGTAAACTGTTTTACCTAGTTTGAAGAGCAATTCCTGCCCTCCCTTAGTTTCGGGCACTATCCACGTCACCACGAATCTACTACTTCCTACACCACTTCACTAGCAAATACACACCACCTTCGATCATACGGCACGTGTTTTGCCTCTAAACTTTGCATCCTCAGGTGAAGTAGACTCTGCGGTGGCTGACCGCTAAATAACTATAATTTCTGACTGGAAAGTCTTCTAAGTAGCTCCATAAAAATTTCATTCTCTATTATTTCACCCTTAGGTTTAGTTTTTTTCTATCATAATTTACAATTACAAATTTTTTACCAATTTATCTTCTATTGTAACGGAACCATGCATAGTTTATTTATCATTACCGTTACAACATATTAAAGTCCGCTGCTGAACATGGGACTTCACTCTTAGATTGCCTCATAGGGGGATATTTGCCATAATTGCCACGCCTGACAAGTGGTCAACCCGGTTGTCAGGCGTGGCAGGCAATTTCAGTTTATTTTTTATTTTTTGTCGTTATTAAGAAGACGCTGCTGCCCATCTCCTGATTTGTTTCCCTCTATCGCCTCTTACGACACCCACAGCATGATATGGGTTAGTAGATATTCTTACACCGCCACTACACGGTATATAGTTTATTTAATTAAAAAAAATCGGTTGTCTGTAAAGTCGGTTTACTGACGATAGTCGAACATGACAACGTCATAAGAAAATGTTGCTATAAACAATTGACACCACATTCACTTTTAACTGCACTTCATATTTGACGAAAACATGTAAATGTTTTATTGTATAGCAGCTGTCCATGCGGACGCATCGCTCACTCAAGTAGGAGAGAGACAGATTTCGAACGCTGCCGAACGCGAAGGCCGATTGTGCCTCTTTGTTACTCGTTCCGAGCTCTCGCTTGCTCTTCAAGCCTTAAATGGAACGCTTCAGAGCGAGGTAACACCGCATGAGTCATGTTTTTTCGTGCGTGCAGCCAGCTTCATCGAATTATAAGACGTTGTCACGTCAAAAATAATCATGGACACCGGTTTACAGTAGGTGAAGATACCGCATTGAATACTCGTTCATATAAAAATAAAATACGAATTAGAAATATCATTTTTTTTAAGTCTGCTCAAAAATTAATGATTACCATTCAAAATATTTTTTTTTCACTTTATCGACTGCGTTAGTCCATAATATATATATCCAACATATATAGGTAACATGTATATAGCATTCATTTATCCTGGAATATTCCATTAAAGGAGACCAGGAATAAGAGACTGCGATATTTGTTCGCTTACAAGAAGATTCGATGTAAGAATGTACTCGGAAAATATTCGAGAGATAAACACGAAAAATATGCCTGACTTCAATGTTATGGTCCGTCAGTAAACTTCATTTATGTTTATATGCAACTCTTATTCTAGAATATTGTATTTTTAAGAATAAGGGTAACAAACGCGCACACAACACTTAATTGTAAGTGGATGCTTTGGTCGATAGACATCTACATCTATCCTCAATTAGGAATCAAAATGAATCGTTATGCATGCAGCGTTAAATAGCAGCTTAACCCTGCTGTGTTTCGTATAGTGAGTGTAGAGTACCGGAAACCCTTTTTACTGAAAACGAGGCATTCCATCTAAGTCCTCACGGGTGACAACGCATCTGCATTTTGATTCGCAATCGAGGATTGTTCAATGCCTAGAACTTTCCCAACACCGTAATCCCGTGATTGATAAATAAAACTTCTTGACGTGTGGCGTATAACGATTGACTGTATTTTAAAATTGTAAGCTATATAATGCTCTATGAAGCAAACCATACCGTGATGTAATGTTACAAGTGACACCATCTAGTGAAAGATATTAAATGTAAAAAAGAACAAACCAGAAATAATTATTTAACAAAACTTTGCTCACAAGAACAGACGAAATTAATAAATAATACCTAAAATAAGTCTACAATTTTATTTGACTTATTTCCTTCAAACTATTTTCATGTCTTTAACATTCCGCCCACCAAGGACAACTGTCCTTTACCCTTTTAGTTTGAAGTGTAAAACAAGGTAAATAACAACATTCAACTAATTAAAATAATAAAAAACGATCATTTCACACTGAGTAATAATGTGTAAAATAGCAAATGAAGATAAAATATGAACTAAATAAAATATTACTTATCTTCACAAATTGGTAATACAATTAATTTTGACACAGGCCGTTTTATGATCGAGTTTTTAAAACGTAAACTTACAACACGCGTAACTTTGTCCACACCTGGATGTTTTTCCACTATACGCCCTAATAACCACCTAGCAGGAGGCAAGTCTGTTTCCCTCACTAAAACAACGTCTCCAATTTTTGGTTCAGGATTTGAATGCGCCCATTTGTACCTGTGCATAAAATGGGTCAATATTCTTGAGACCACTGTTTCCAAAAATCCTGTATCATGCGCTGGCAAAGGTGCCATCGTCGTAACAGATTAATAGAAGTGTCATATTGATGATCTGGTGCCGGAATTAATGGTTCGCCTACAAGAAAATGACTTGGAGTTAAAGCAAAATATTCACCTTTATCGTCTGTTATAGATGTCATAGGCCTAGAATTTAGGCAAGCCTCAATTTGCGTTAAGAGTGTTGACATCTCCTCATAAGTTAATGTAGAGTTTCCAATCACTCTTTTTAAATGATATTTGGTTGATTTTATGCCAGCTTCCCATAAACCTCCGAAGTTAGGAGCTTGTGGTGGGTTAAAATGCCACTTTGTATCGTGTGATTCTAACCATTCTCCAATTTTACTGTTTCTTGACTTTTCTTCATTAAAAAATTGCTTGAGTTCCCGAGCTGCACCAACAAAATTAGTGCCATTGTCACTAAATAATTCCATGCAGTGACCTCGTCGTGCAGTGAATCGCCTAAATGCTGCTAGAAAACTTTCAGAGCTCATGTCGCTTACAACCTCTAGATGAATTGCTCGAGTAGTCATACAAATGAATAAACATATATAGCCTTTATATGATTGATTACTTCGGCCTTTTGAAACGCTTATGTTGATCGGCCCCGCATAATCCACACCACTACATGAGAAGGCTCTGCTTGGCCTTACTCTTGACGGAGGTAACTGGCCCATCAGCTGAGTTTGGTTTTGAGCGGAAAAACGTATACGAGTAACGCATTTTCGAAAATGATTTTTTACAAGCGATTTATCTCTAAGTATCCAATATTTAGATCTCAGGTAATTGATCATTACTTGAGGTCCACCGTGTAGTGTTCTAATATGAGCCTCACGGACGAGCAACCCAGCTAAATAAGAATCGTGAGGAATCAATGCTGGATGTTTTGTATCTCTGTTGACTGTAGCATGATAAATCCGTCCACCAATGCGAAGTATGCCTTTGTCGTCTAAGAATGGATTAAATGAGATAAGTTTACTTTTCTTTTGTATAAAATTGCCCTTTTTTAATGTTTCTATTTCCTCATTAAATTCTTTTATTTGTGCTTTCTTTATCATTATATGTAATGCTTCTTTTATTTCTTCTGTTTTCAAATATGCACTAATATCTTATTTCTTTTTCAGGAATCTTCGACAATAGGCAACCACTCTTAGCAGTTTCATCAATGAAGAAAATTTATACCACATGGCATCCTGATCATCGACAGTATATACTGCTGCACTGTGTATTTTTACAATTCTTTCTTCTATGTTTGTATTCACAAATTTAGAAAAAGGATAATCAATTTTCTTATTACGTAACCAGGATGGACCTTCTAACCAAAGTCAATGATAAGCGATTTCAGATGGAGCAATGCCACGAGATGCGCAATTAGCGGAATTGTCTTCTGACTGTACATGAAACCAGTGAGTACGATCTAAATATTGTAATATTTCCGCCACTCTGTTACCGATATATGTTTTCCACCTACTTGGATGAGAGCTTAACCACGCCAATACTATTTCTGAATCAGTCCATGCCTTCAAGTGGTTTTTAGAAATTCCCAGAACTTCAGAAACTTCTATAAGTAATTTAGTTAGTAAAAGAGCTCCACATAATTCAAGTCTAGGTATAGATAATTGACTATTAGGAGCTACCTTAGATTTGCCAGTCACCAGATTTACATGGACTTGTCCATCACTATCAATAACTCGCAGGTAGACAACTGCACTATATGCTAATGAAGACGCATCTGAAAATCCATGTAGCTCAACAAGCTCATTGTTGTTTTCACATTTCATCCAACGAGGTAACCTGAACTCGGTAAGTTTGGATAATTCATCTCTATATGTAAGCCAATAATTCAAAAAATGTGGAGGTAATTCTTCATCCCAATCTAATTTTTCTAACCACATCTTTTGAATAAAAACCTTTGCGCTGACTATACTTGGTTGTATCCATCCTAATGGATCATACAAACGTGAAATATCAGATATGACCTTTCTTTTAGTAACTGGAAATGATAACGGTGGAAGTCTGACTGCATATTCAAACTCATCGTTTTTTCGATTCCAGGTAAGTCCCAAAATTTTATTTACAGGATCTTCTTTTAGTTCCAAAATTTTGTGATCACTATTTTCCTTCTTCTCATTCCGTATAGTATTCAAAAATGTATCGTTATTGCTTGACCATTTTTGCAATTCAAATCCACCTTTGTTGAGTAATTTATTAATCTGATAATATAATTTAGTAGCTTCCTTCTCGTTTTGACATCCAGACATTAAGTCATCTACATAAAAATCTCTTTTGACTATTTCAGCTGCTAAAGGTATATTTTGTCCTTCATCAATAGCCAACTGAATCAAACTTTTGATTGCTAAGTATGGAGCTGAAGAGGTACCAAATGTCAATCTTAGTAATCTGTATTCTTTTAACTCTTGCTCGCTATTCTCACGCCACAAAATGCGTTGAAAATCAGTATCCTTTTGATTTACCTTAACCTGTCGGTACATTTTGACAACATCTGCAATAAAACAAACTGGATGAGTTCTCCATCTCATGATAATATGGCGTAAATTTGATTGAAGTTTAGGGCCAACCATCAAATCATCATTTAAAGATTTTCCATTTACGCCTTTACATGAGGCATCAAAAACTCTACGCACTTTAGTTGTCTCCCTATCTTCTTTTATAACAGCATGATATGGTAAGTAAATAGCTGGTAAATCTAATTCTTCTTTTGGTACTATCTCCATGTGATTTAAGTGCAAATATTCGTCAAAATTTTTCTTAAACTCTACATTCATATCAGAATTCTTCTGTAACCTTTTTTCCAGAGAAGCAAACCTACGAAGCGCAATTTGTTTTGATTTTCCTTCTAAACATAATGGATGTTCATTTCGAAACGGAAGTCGAACTATATATCTGCCATCATTATCCCTTACCGTAGTCGATTCATATAATCGTTCACAATTTTGTTCCTCTTCCGTTAAAATTGTCTTAGATAAATTTGGTTCGACTTCCAATTCCCAAAATGAGCGAATTAAACCATCGAGATGAACTTCACCATGTAAACTCACTACGTTACAGTAAGGTGTATTAGAATGCAACTGTCCACTTTAATATCCACCCCAAAGATGTATTTTGAGCTACTGTAGATCCTGAGGGATATTTAAGTAGTCCTTCTATAATGATAAGTGCATAAACTTCTGCCCCTAATAAAATGTCAATTTTATTAGGTTTGTGGAAACTTGGGTCTGCCAAGTTGAGTTGTTTCAGCTCTGGCCAATGCAAGAAATCAACATTAGTAGAAGGTAAGTATGATGTCAACTTCTCTAAAACATATGCTGTCACATGTAGACGAATTTGTATCGTACCTTGAATGAATTGTCAAATCTACTGTAGATTTTGAGACCAAACTTTTTTCTGCTCCTAAACCTGAAACCATAACATTTGTCTTAGTCTTTTTTAACCCGAGTAACTGTACCGCCGACTCTGTGATAAAGCTGGCCTGCGAGCCTTGATCTATCAATGCTTGCATTGTTTGATAGTCATTCCTATATTTCACGTTCACTAAAGCTGTAGCTAGTAAAACATGATGAATAGGCTCCTTTAAGAAATGACTTGCAATATTTTGATGAGATTCCTCTAAATTTTCTGGATGTAAGGCTGTTCTAGTGGGCTGTCCTGTTTTTACCGATTCCTTCCCTCTAGATACATCTGAATCATTATTGCCATTTATTGAGATTACATTTTTGGGATGCAAAAGTGAATGATGTCGTCTACGACATATTTGGCATGAGGTGGTTATACGGCACTGTTTTACTGAATGATTATTACCTTAACAATTGAGGCATAACTTGTTTTGTTGGACAAAGTTACGTTTATCAAAACATTGTAAACCTGAAAATCTTTTACAATTACTGATCCTATGATCACCATTACAATATACACAAGGTGATGGATTGATATGAAGGTTTACAAGTGCATTAGAATTTTTTATGTTACATACATTGTTGTGATTAGATAACTTTTTTATTGTACCTTTTGAATCTAGAAACTCCAAAGAATGGTATTTATTTTCCAAAAACTCTTTAAATTGAGAAAAAGATGGTAGTTCCTTTGACCTAGAGACAGTTTCACTTACTCTCGACTCCCATTGTTTGTGAGTTTCTTGATCCAGCTTAGAACAAACAATATAAATTATAATTAAGTCCCAAGAATCCGTATTAATACCAATGCTTTTAAGCCCGTTTAAGGTATCAGTCGTATTATCAAGTAATTCTTTTATAGCAGTTGCAGACTCTGTTGTAACGTTCCTTTGACTAAAAAATTTTTTCAAAATACAATTTGCCAAAAACTGTTTATTGTCATATCTATCTTGTAAAATTTTCCAACACTGTTCGTAATTTTCATTTGTAATAGGAATGTGACGCAATAACTTTTCAGCTTCACCTGTCAAATATCCTTTCAAGTAATGAAGCTTATGTACATCTTCCATAGAACTCTTATGAATGAGTGATACAAATAAATCCCTGAAACTCATCCATTCGGAATATTGTCCTGAAAAGGTTGGAATCGAAATATTAGGCAATTTTACATTAGAAGATGACATTATATGCTTATCATATACAATTCCAGGTTGTTCCAAAAGTTGGTCAAATTTTTCTTTCATTTCCGCAATAAAATCAATATAAAACATTTGTTTCTTGAAAATGATCATTTTTAATGTAGTCTGACGCTGATACGTCTTGCTTGCTTTTAATAATTGCAGAATGATTGCTTGAAAATTCAGTCCATTTTTCTTCCGCTAATTTTATTCTGGTTTCAATATTACGAGCTGTTAATCGTTCTTTAGGACTTTTCTTATAATTTATTTTAGCTTTATTCAATTGATTTATAATTTCTGTCTGAAGCTTTATGAATTCCATGTTTCAATTCAAATTTTGTAGGTTATAATTTTTTCAATAAAATTTTTCTAAGTCAATGTTATTTGCTTCGAAAATTTTCTAAGTGTTTGTATTTTTTTTTTGAAATTGGGCATAGGTTCCCCGTGTGTTCAATTTTTCTTAATCTATTCTAAGTCTACTACACTTAGAAAATTCTAGCAATTTAACATGAAATTTTTCTAAGTCCGAATTTATCCAATAATTGCACTATGTTAATAACGCAGCAATGTACTTACAATTATTTCTTCAATGTATCTAAAAGACACCATATACTACTCTTTGTTGTCCTTTTCTTACGCCTGCTGCAAGGTGTGACGTCGCAGTAGGTTTCTTTTCACACTCCAAAGATCACCTCGTGGATGTTCGTGTTCCGTCGCTAACAGCGTTGTCTTCCAATTTTGTAAATGGAAGATGTATCCCTCTACGACATCCCGACGCCGTGTCTCGTAGTTGTAAAAATGATGTAGCACAGATCAACCTCAGCCTTAAGTATCCGAACTCGAAGGACCAATGTTCAATGCCTAGAACTTTCCCAACACCGTAATCCCGTGATTGATAAATAAAACTTCTTGACGTGTGGCGTATAACGATTGACTGTATTTTAAAATTGTAAGCTATATAATGCTCTATGAAGCAAACCATACCGTGATGTAAAGTTACAAGTGACACCATCTAGTGAAAGATATTAAATGTAAAAAAGAACAAACCAGAAATAATTATTTAACAAAACTTTGCTCACAAGAACAGAC